CTGCATCCAATCACCCACTGTAAACCCCCACCAATCTATTGTACTGTTGTTTATTAGATTTGTGTTAATTCATTTTATTAGTATTTATATAACTTTTGATGTGCTGGTCCTATTGGATAGCGGGGGTGACCACTTAGGCACATCTCATGGTTTAATTATTTTTAAGTCCTTATTAATTTTAACATCAATAAAATTAATTCTTAATCCCTGTCAATTTTTCTATTTCAACTTTGAAGTCAATGAAATTAAATCTAAACTCACACGAGCCGTGTGATTTTCGTGGTTAAAAGAAATATTGTTGTTCTTCGATGTTCTATATTTCAATATCAGGAATACTAGGAGAATGTGTGTTCAATGTCGAATATTTTAAAATTATCTTTAAATAGATATTATCTTGTATTGACCTAAACAAATCAAAAAAAAATCTTAACTCTATTTTTTAATTCAATTAATTTAAAGCATCTATTAATTTTAATAGCGATATAATAAAATTTTGACCCTAACTTTTTAAAATAAATGCATAAGATGTACTTAAATTATGACCATCATTTTAAATTGATACATAAACTTTAAGATATTTTATATTAATCCCTAAACCATCACCTCCCTTATAATTGGTTCTTAAACTTTAAAGTATTCTATATCAGTCATTAAATCGTTAGTATCTTTAAATTTTGATCCGTTAACATGATATTAACTCTATTGGTTAATTTTTAATCTATTTGTGAAGGTCTTGGAAATTAAACCTCCAACACTTTAAAAATTCTAAAATATAAAGATTAACTTAAAATGAGATTATAGTTTACAAACTTTATATATATATATATATATATATATATATATATATATATATATTTTAAATTTAGAAAGTAATTTAGAGTTGAGGTTATAATTTTAAAAAATTCTTATTCAATTAAATGCATTTTTCAAATTACCCTTCGAGCATTGTTTTTTTTTTAATTTTAAAATTAGACTGAATTTTAAATTATTTATTATTGTTATTGTTATTTATAGTTAATTTATATTTTATTAATTTGAGGTGAGTATAAGACAATTTCTGTTAAAAGAAAACTTGCAACCTTTTGACACTGAACGCTCACACCCATGGCATCTATGATGCTCGAACTCGGATTCTCAAAGAATAACAACAATTCCTTTACCACGAAATCTACTTAGTTAATCTATTTTTTTTATGTCTTGTAAATAATTAAGCATTTAATAATAATAATGATAATGCACACATGCTTAGTAAAAAAATTGTTTGAATCCATAATTTTTAAGGGGAAGAATACTCTCTTTACCCTTGAAATCATTCACGGGTTTACTTTTTAATTAAATATTTATTTTATTTAGGCTTAATATACTTTTAAGTGCTTAAACTACACTTTAAATTATCTTTTGGTGTCTAAAGAATTTTTCGCTAAAAATAGATTCTAGCGTTTTCTCTATTACACTTCTAGGCATTTAGATGGTGACAGTTGTTAAATTCAATTGTTATCTGACATGTGTCATTATTTTTTTAAGTTTATTTAAAAAAAATTTAAAAAAACTAAGAGTCCATTTGGTTCTAGAAAATATTTTCTATTTCCATTTTCTGTTTTTTTATTCAGAAAATAGTTTTCATTTTCAATTTTTTGAAAATTAGAAAACATGTTTGATTAGTATAAATGAAAACTTTAATTCAAAACTAAAATAGTAAACATGTATGTTGTATCTAATTTTTTAAAATATAAATAAACAAATTCTTACTAAATAATTAAATTAAACTATAATTATTAAATAAATTCATTACATAAATTTAACATGTGAGTTATGTAAATATAAAACAATGAAATTGATAATAAATTCCATAACATAAAATTTATTTTAGTTTGTAATAAGAATATAATGTTAATACATATTAGACATCAATTATATTTAAAAAAAATAAAAATATTGTTATAAGCAATAACATACAAAAGTGTAGTCCTTAAACATTTTTTGTACTAAATATGATCTTTTAACTTAAAAAAAATTAATCTAACCCTTTAAATAACGAAATCAAACGTTGACTGTCACGACGTTTATATGACAATTCACAAACTTACATGGTAATCTATAATATTGATGTGATAATTCTCAATATTGTTGTGACAATACTCGATGGACGATGATGCGGTAGATGGATTTAATTGATTATTTTAGAAAGTTTGGGGACTTATTTAATTTTTTTAAAATAAAAAATATTTAGATTAAAAATATAAACAATTATTAAGATATTCAAAACATTAAATATAAAAATACTACAAAATCAAATTATTAAAAAATAATTTAAGGACTACATTGAGTGTAAAAAAAGTTAAGTCACTTAATGGGAAAAACTAGGGTTGTTCATTCGGTTAATTCGGTGGCCGAACCGACCGAACTACCATTAACCGAATTAACCGAACTTTTTTTTCTTTAACCGTTAACCGAACCGAATTTTTTTTCGAAAATATTAACCGAACCGAATAAATTTCGGTTAATTTTAGAATTAACCGAAATTTTTTAGAATTTTCGGATTTAATATTTTTTAATTAAAAAACAGTTTAAAATATTTAATTAATTTGATTCAAACATTATATTAAAATAAGATATTTGTATCTATCAATTTGGTTTAAAAAAACCCAACAATATTGCACTTCTACAAAATAAATCAGAACAAAGTGCAGCTGGAAGCATAATTCAGTATACAAACAGTTTACACTTTAAGTGTTGGTGCATGAAGGTTGTGCTAACTGCCATGTTCTTGGCTGCTGCTGTCATACCAACGCACAACATATTAGGTATCAACCAAAATTCAGTGCACAACATATTACTTGCATATTACATGCACAACCAAAATAAAGAGACGCAAAATTCAGTTCGAACCATAAAAAACAATAAAAACAATCCAAGGTATAAATATCAAATATATCTATTAAGTATTAAGTATCAACCATTTGATTACTAAAGCTCATTCTCATAGGACTAAGATTAAAAAACAAGAAAGATATATCCCTTACACAGAACATAATAACTCAAAGCCAGAGATATGTTTCCAATGGATACAAACTGCTGAAGCAGGCTGTTACAAAAACCAAATCGAAGGCAAAATTGAATTGAACTACTATATCCTTTTCTCTTTTTTCCACAAATGGTAAATTGTAAAATCTGATGATTTAATCTGGCCCAAGATCTTTTCAAATTGTTGAATAGCTCTTGCATAGATAAACATTGTTTTTCTTGTATATCTATTTTCCGGAAATCTTAATTTAGGATAGACATATCTACTTTGTATTTGTTGTTCCTCATCATCATTATTTTGGATTATGATAGATACTGAGTGGGGTCTGTTTTACAGCTTATGGTGTTGATATGTTGAATACAATTGGCTACATCTATGTAAGACAAGCAGCAAAAGAACTTGGGAAGAAAGCGATATACTTGGGTGTTCCATTCGTTGCTGAGTAGTTTAGAAACAAAGGTCATTTTATTAAATACCAAGTAACTGCTGCAACAGGTTAGTAAATCCCAAGAAAGCGATATACTTGGGTGTTCCATTCGTTTGGTTTCTACTGCTAACTTAAAGGGTGGATATTCGTTCAATACTGCTAACTTAAATGGAACCTAATTCAAAAGACATACATCAAATAAATTTTTGTCCATACCATAGTCAAGGAAGCAATAAACCAGAATTTTATAAATGTAGTTTAACAGTATATTAATCTTTCATTTTGTCTCAGCATAAACAAAACAAGAACCCAACTTTCATTCGGAAGTTTGTTGCTTTCAAGGTTTCAAAACAATCCATTATATCAAATCACAAACCCTAAATCAAACAAGTAATTAAAATTTTTAGGGGGAAGTAAACTAATCAAAGAGAAAATCTAAAATTTTTAAGTTAGAAAACTAACCTGAATCGAGATTAGAGAGAGCAGAACTAAGATTAGAGAGAGAGAGAGAGAGAGAGAGAGAGGGAATGAGGGTTTGAATCGTTTGATGAAAGCTCGGGTGGTGCCTTGGTGAGATGAGATTGAAAGGTAAGGTTTACATTTAGTTTTTAGGTTATTATATTTAATTAAAATTGATTTGGCCATTAATGGGTAATGGGTTTTAAATGGGTAATGGATTGGGGCATTGGGCTGGCTGACGGGCTTATATATATATATATTTAAAATTTAATTTCGGTTAATTCGGTTAATTAACCGATTTCGAACCGAATTAACCGTTAATCAAATTCTATAAATTTTCTTAATCATTAACCGATCAAACTAATTCGTTTTCCGACCGAATTAACCGAACTAATTCGGTTCGGTCGGTTAACCGAATTAGTTCGAAAATTTGAACACCCCTAGGAAAAACTAACGTTGTTGACAGCCCGGACACCTAAAATGCTAACGTTTGTAACATTAAACACCTGAATAGCCAAAAAATGTAGGCACTTACTTTACAAAAAAGGTATAGTTTAGGCACTTATCTGGGCATTAAGCCATTTTATTTATTAAGTGTTTTTTATTTTTTAAATTTTATATGTGTATCACCAAAAGTTAATTTGGTGAAATTTAATGTGAAATATTTATTTTTAAATAAAAATTAGTTAGACATCAAAATTAATTTAAAGTATAATTTAGATATTTAAAAATATATTAAACATTTTATTTGATACAAATAATATATATATATATATTGTTGAGTCAAATCAAGTTTTCACTTAAAAAATTGAATCATATTTTTAATCTGATGAAATCTTTTTAAACTTAAATTAAATCAAATTCGAATAAAAAATTAACTTTTAAAATTAAATTCGAATAAATAAAAAATCCGAATCATGATTCTCCCGGTCCTTGACTGAACCGCCCAGTCCATTCCACACGCGCGGCTAACAAAACACGTGTAGAGATAAACATCGAGTTCGTCTGAAGAAAGACGATGAAAAAAACTGTCAAAACACAGGGGAGGGGAGGGAGAAATCAGATCTATCGCCTTCAAAACTGCAGAATGGGATCAAGCGCGTTGACCAATTCTTCTTCATGTTAATATAATATTTATAATTACATATACTTTTTATAGTTGTAGATCCAAGAATATCATATTTTTTGTTATTATTGTTTTAGAAATTAATATAACTCGATTAGAATGAAATTAGTAATTGAATGAATGAGAACCCCATCTTGTTTGCTACCTCTAACTTTAGATTCTGCTGTCCTTAACCTTTCCAATATCACTGATCTCTCCCCTCTTCCTGATCACATTCTCATCGAGCTCTTCCTGGTAAAACTTTTCTTTCTCTTTTTCCTTTCTTGATTTTTTCGAGTTTTCTTGCCTTTTTGATAGGTGGGCAGTTTTAATTGATTGATTGCCTTTTGGGTTTTTCTTTTTATGTGAAGCTATGGATTCTTCATGTGTTGGTTTGTATATGCGTGGATGGGATGATGTTTTTGGGGAAATGAATTGATTTTGATGGAGTATGGTTAACTAAGTCTTTAGAAAGTTGTTAATAATTTTATGATGGTATTGCCTGGTGTGGTCTGTGTGTTACGCAATCCCAAATTTGTTATGATTATCCAATTCAAAATTTAAAGTGCGTTTCGTTTGATTTTGTTACATTGTCTTTTCATTTGTGACATGGATTTCAGTTGATATTTACTATCCAGTTCAATCACAATGCATGAGAAATGTAGGATGTTCAGAGTTTAGTGCCACTGCTCTGTCTTTCTTATTTTATTTTCAATACCCAATTTCTAATTGGGTAAGATAATCAGCTTTGGATTTTGAAGAACTAATGTTGAATTTGAAGTTTTGGCAAATGAAGTTGGCGGTATTGATAATCTGGTCGTACATTGTTGTTTCGGTTGTATGGAGAAACATGAATTAATTAATGAAGTTAGGCGTGTACACCGTCACCGTCACTAAATCTTTAGGGCTGGGGTAGAGAAAGAGGAGTTCTATTTACAATCTCTACAAGTACGGATTTGCTTTTTCAATTAAATTTTCTTGCTGAAAACATGAGGCCGGAGAAGCTGGCGCTTGTGCTGTGTCTTGTTGACTGGATCCAAATTATTCTTTATACTGGAAAAAGTTACTTCCCTTTTCTTGAGAGATTGATTCTAACAAATTGTCTGACAGTTTAAGTGGCAATGAGTGGATAGAGTTAAAGTTTCGGTGATTTTGGTTCAATATCAGGAGTTCTAGATTTGCAAGCATGTTAATTTTTGGTTCTTTAAGACTAAAACAGCAAACCATGCCATCTTTTAAACTTAAGTCGTAGTGGCTCATGAGTTTTTTCCTCTTTGTTTTCCTTTGTTGTGCTTGAATGGATAGCTCCTTTTGTTCTTTTGGATCACTTGAGTTGAATGTTTTGCTATTGTGGCCGCTTGTTTACTAATTTTCTCTGCTATGATCTTTTTTTAGTTTTTCCCTTTTCTTAAATTTAATACAATGCAGAATTTACCTCATCTAGTTTCTAAATTCTTTTCCTTTTTCCCTTTTGTCTTTCAAATCCTTTGAACCTGAGAATAACTGAAAAACAATTCAACTATGTTTTTTTTTTCTTTTTCTTTCTGACTATCATATATTTAGGTTCATGAGTCTATCTTCTCTCTATAACTTATATTTGCCATCTCAACTTCTCTTGCTTCTATTTCATTTAGTATGAAAAATTTTCATGATTCTGGCAGAGAACATTGAGAGCTGGAAAGCTGACTGAGAGGGTTCTTAAGCTGTTTATAGCTACTGGCAAGGACGAGGTCTTCTCACTTATCCAGGAGCTAAACATTCAAGTCACAGTTAACCCTGTCCTTCCTACCAGTAAGTCACCTTAGGAATTTCGACTTTCTTTTTCTCATTTTCTTCTCCAAATAGACTTTGTTTCCATAGGATGTTCTGAGAAATTTTGAGATCGGTTTAATGTGGAATAAGCAAGTGGTTTGGTCTGTAACGATCAGCTGATTTAAGAGGCCTGACTATTCAGAATTCGATTGTTGTTTCTATTTGGCAAGATGTCTCTACCAATTAAGGACGATGAGATTGATATCGTGATAGGAACACTCAATTCTGATCTGACATCTTTCATGAATGCGTGGAGGCCTATATTCTCTCGATTTCATCTGATAATTGTCAAAGACCTTGATTTGAAAGAGGAAATCAAAATCCCAGAGGGCTTTAACCTAGATGTCTATGAAAAGCCTGACATAGACCGCTTGGTGGGTACTTCTACATCCATCATCTTCTCTGGCTATGCATGCAGGTATTTTGGCTATCTTGTTTCTCGGAAGAAGTACATTATCTCTGTGGACGATGACTGTCTTCCAGCCAAGGACAATAAAGGCTTTTTGGTGGATGCTGTTTCCCAGCATATTACTAATCTTACAACCCCAGCCACACCGTTCTTTTTTAATACTCTGTATGACCCTTTCACTGAAGGTGCGGATTTTGTCCGTGGCTACCCATTCAGTCTTCGGAGCGGGGTAACATGTGTTTTGTCATGTGGTCTATGGCATAATTTGGCTGACTATGATGCACCTACTCAAGCCCTCAAGCCAGAAGAAAGGAATTCCCGATATGTTGACGCCGTTCTGACTGTTCCAGCTAGAACCCTGATGCCTATTAGCGGAATCAACATCGCTTTTAATCGGGATGTGGTTGGACCTGCCTTACTTCCATGTTTGAGGTTGGCCGCGGAAGGTAAGTTTAGGTGGGAAACAATGGAAGACATCTGGAGTGGGATGTGTGTTAAGGTCATATGCGATCACCTCAGACTCGGTGTGAAAACTGGGCTGCCTTATGTGTGGAGAAACGACAGAGGTGACGCAATAGCAAGCTTGAGAAAAGAATGGGAGGGTGTGAAGATGATGGAGGAAGTCGTGCCTTTCTTTCAGTCTCTGAGGTTGCCACAGGAAGCTACTACAGCAGAGGACTGTGTAGTCGAGGTGGCGAATGCTGTTAAAGAGAAGCTGGGATCGAAAGATCCCGTGTTTGCTCGTACCGCTAAAGCCATGCTTGATTGGGTAAAGCTCTGGAAATCAGTTGGAGGTTGCTCATCCTCACCAGGTGCATAGGAATCAATTAACTTGAGGGCTGTGCTTTGTTTCGTTTTAGTTTATGATTATAAATCATGGTGTACTGCAACTGTGTTTATCCATACAAGTTGAAACTGTGTGTTTATAGACTACAATACTTCTTGATGGAGATTTGGGGTTGCATTTTCAAATCGAGGAAAACTGTGATCATTCTCTCTCAATCAAAATAACAACTTAGGATAAGATGATTTCAATTCTCGAATTGGGTCAAATTCAATAGGAAATAGTAAAAATGTAATTTTTTAATCATCTATGATTTTGTCTTTTTTATTAAATATAGTATAATGAATAATAAAACGACTACAAGGATATTGTAATTGACTTTTTTTAATTTTTAAAATATAATATTCATGCCTTTATCTATTGCATTTTTAACAACAAACTAGAAGACGGTTTGAATACAGTCCGTTTTTACTGTTTGTTTTATTTTTTTTCTCAAATAAAATATTATAAATGGGTGGTTTACAACCCATTTTCACTGTTTGAATAAAAAAATTATTGCTACAGTGAAGATGACTGGTTTACAAGTTGCCTTCACCATTCATATTTATTATTTTAAAAAAAGATACAATGAAGCTGGTTCCATCTTCACTATTAATATTTATTATTTTAAAATATCTACAATGAAGATGGTTGGTTTACAAGCCGTTTTTACTATTCATATTTATTATTAAAAAAGGATAGAGTGAAGATGATTGGTTTAGAAGCCTCCTTTACTATTCATATTTACTATTTTAAAAAAGTAATTGCTCGAATAAAAAATTTAATTACTACAGCGAGGATTGTTGGTTTACAAACCGCCTTCACTATCATATTTATTATTTAAAAAAAGTTATAGTGAAGATGGTTGGTTTACAAGCTGCCTTTACTATTTAAAAAAAAGCTACGCTGAATATGACTGGTTTACAACCCGCCATCACTATTCATAAAAAAATTGTTTCATTCAAAGGCTGTGCAGCAGCAGCGTGCAGGTTGGGTGGCAGTGTAACAGGCCAGATGCATGAGGTTTGGAAATAAAGGGTGATAGAGTGATATTGATATATAGGATATATGTATTCATTAGTTATTAAAAATTAAATTATATTGGGTAAGGGTAGATGATAGGGGTAAGTAATGGATAAATAATTTGTTTTTTTGTTGAGAGAGTTGATTTTTGTGTGTTAAATAGATGAGGTTGAAGATAAAGTGTGAAAAAATTGAAGTAGAGAAGAAGAACAAAGAGGAGAAGGAAAGAAGATTTGGAGATTTGGTAGAATATTTTGGAGCAAACAAGTAAGTTGAATTTGATATTTTAAATTTTATTGAAGTAATATTATATTTCTAATTTTGTTTTAAATTTTTAGATCGTATATTATTGATATAATTTAAATTTTACCCATGTAATTTCGATAGATTTTGAGAAAAATAAAGGAAAAATATTTGGAGTTTTAGAAAAATATTTTGAAGCAAACAAGTAAGTTGATATAATTTTTTAATTACTTTTTTATTATATGTATCCATCCATTATTATTTTAAGTTATTTAGAATCTCAAATTTAAATTTTATGTCTTATTTTTATTTAGAATTTTAGTGGTTTTAAGTAGTATGTTTTTAATATATTATTAGTTTTAATTAATATTAAATATGTTAGTAGTATATTTATATTGTTTTAAATATATATGTTTTTAAACATCCAGAGAAAATGAGCAACAAGTTTCTCATTATTGTCCATTACAATGCATAAACTGTGAAAACTGATGTTGGGGATGTATTTGAACCTCAAAGCCTTATGAACGTATGCTTAAAAGGGAAATCAAGCTTCAAGAAATCAAAAAAATTATAAAAATAAAAATTAGAATTGAGATTGATGATTTGTAGTACAGGTGGAAGACATGTCACACTCCAGCTAGATATTATTCAATATCTATTCGAGATGATAGTGATGTTGGAAGCACGATTGCAATACATGAAACAACAAATACTTCAATTATTGAGTTATATGTTAAGGTGCGTGGGATATATGATGTTCCCGGCTCATCCAGAAAAGTATTTGGAAATTCGCCTCAAATGAGTTTCTGTAGTGGGATTGAGGACCACACATATCAGTCTAGAAACAATTTTGTCACGATATTGGAAAGTGTTACATCGAGTACATTTTAACCATATGGCTAGACTTCGACATTTGCAATTGTTGGTCCAAATGTTGATGTTGACGTTGAAAACCTTCGAGATCGATGGGGGAAGCACTTGCTAATTCTAGTAATGATGAAGAAGAGGATCCTGATTTTATTGGTGATGATCATATTTTTTTGTGACGGTGAATTTATTTCAGCTGGTGACGCTATTACATTCTATCAACCTCTAGCTTACATGAACTTAATAGATTACGATGCGATGAAGGTGCTTGAATTTTCATACATACCACAATCAACTTCGGGTTACTCTTAAGATTTATCGGGCGAGATTCAATTTAATACAAAAGAGGAAGTTGCATTGGCAATTAAAGAGTATTGCATAAAAAACACGTGGACTTTATTGTTGTAGAATCCAGTCCGAGAATTTTATTTGTAAAATGTGTTAAATATGAAGAAGAATGTAATTGGAAGATCTGAGTGTTTAAATTTCAGAGGAAAAATGATTGGGTAATCACAAAGTACAATGACAATCACACATGTTTATGAAATTCAATCCAACAAGACCTCATGCAATTTGACTCAAATGTAATAAGTTAACACGTGAAGATGTTGGTTAAAGCAAATCTAATGGTTCTCATTTTAGTGTTACAAGCATCTATTAAGAACCAATTTGGATATAAATTAAAATACGTCAAGGGTTGACATGTAAAAGAGAAGGCAATAAGGTTAGTGTTTGGTGATTACGATACGCCATATAATTTATCTACCAACTTTATTACAAGCAATGCAATATTTCATTCCAGGGACCATAATAAAGTATCAAACTTTTGACGCATGCAACCGAGAAGGTCGAGTTGTTGAAGGGAAGAAAATATTTCATCGATTATTTTGGGCATTCAAGCCATGCATTGAAGGGTTTCCATTTTGCAAACGTATGGTCTAAGTTGATGGCATATGGTTTTACGACAGATGCAAACATGTACTGTTGATAGCAGTTGCACAAGATGGTGACCCGAATATCTTCTCGATTGCATTTGCAATTTTTGATAAGGAATCAACATAGTCTTGGAACTCATTCATAAACTGAAGATATTGTGCGTGAACCAGATTATTAGAACTATCTAACATCAGTATCCCTTTAATGAGTTACATAAGATATGCTCGAGCTCAACGCCTAATCTCCTCTGCCGTACTATAATCGGTGACTTTAAATTCATTCTCCAACCAACTCATTTTGATACAATAACCTCTTATATATATTATATATGACACATTCCCAATATATTTTAAGCAAAACTGCTGAGCATTGAGTTTAATATGAGCAATCAATGACTTCTCATTTACAAGGACCCCAATTTGCAAGACCGCATCTTCTAGAGTAATGGTGCATTATCCACATGGCAAATGAAAAGTATGTATTTTCGGTCTCCACTTTCAATTAATGTAATAATCAAACTTGAGATTAATTAATTTATAGCCACGAATAAATGTGGCATGATAAAATCATGGCATATAAAAAAATTGAATAATAAGCTGGTGTGGGTCATTATTTCGCATCCCTCGATATCGAAATGTTTCCACAATATCTGCAATGAACACAAACAACCTCAAATAAGATTGTGTGAGACATAAAACTACATAATTTATTTCTTAATAAATAAATAAATTATCAAAAAATTATACCGATTAATTTGACATAAGACTTGTGATGTTTTCATTTTGTAATCTCAACAGAGGATGCTAATCTGTCATCCTTCTAATAACTTCCAACTATACATGACAAATATAAACATTATCATAAAATACTAGTAATAATTAAAAAAACATTTATAATAATAAAAATAAAAAGACTTAAATTAATTAATTAATTAATTATAATATATTTAATTTAAAATATAAATATTTATATTACTTAAATTAAAATATTAAAAATCAAACTCACTGGTATATAATTTGGTGTACAAATAATGTCATCAAATTAATTAACCATCATTAATTAATTAATAAATCACTTATAATTCTAAACAATTTCATAATATGTTTTAGATTTTTTTTATTAAAAACGAGAATAAAATATTTGAATCTAAGTTTTAAAATATTTATTATGTATTTTATTATAAGCAAATATTCGAAAAAAGTGAAATAAAAAAAGTGAATTCTAAGGATGATTTTCCCTTTGTTAGAAGTTCCGGTTCAAAAGCACATTTTTTCCTCTTCTTTTCTGCCGTACTTTGATTAGAATATTTATGACATAGGATCTGTTCTGTTTTCACTTAATTTCTGCTAGTAAGATAAATTTTCTTTTTTCTGCCTTCTTAGTGATTGGTACTATTTAGAAAAGTCTAAGCGTGTGAAAACATTTCGATGTGGGGAGTTTGATGATTGCATTGAAAGGGCAGAATCCTCACAAGGTATGCCACCCAAGAAAAGAGAGAAATATGGTCGACGGGAAGACGCTATCCTCCATGCACTGGAACTTGAGAAGATGTAAATCATCTGGTTCTGCTAAGAAGGATTCTTGTGGTTCAGATATTAGTAATGGAAAACCTGGTAACAAAAAACCAAATCAATCCAGGAGTCAAGAAACTTGCATCAAGGGGAAACAGTGAGCAGCCCGGTACACTTGCAAAAGTATAAAGCCGGAAGTCAGCCAACTTCACAAAATGATCATGCTGAAATCATACCTCGGATGAGAGGATTGTTGGACTCGGGGCCCAAGCCTGCATATGCAAAACAAAAGGTTACATCTTTGGGTTCTTTGGATGTTGATGATACTCCATCTCCTTCAACTAGGGTTTCCAGCATGGGAAGACCCACTCACATCAATGGTAAAATCTGATTTAGATTACATGAGGGCTTATTGAGGAATATTTTGTCAAGAGATATGATTGGACACACCCTTTGTTCAAGTATAGCAGAGTAGTGCAAAATTAGGAGTCCCGCATTTTCTTCTACCCGACTTCAGTTCTGTTTCTACTTTTATTTCAGGAGGAGA